TAGCATCATGCTAAAAGTCTGAGTGATGCTTAGAAGAAACCCCTAAACATTCAATTCACATTTAAGTTACAGTTGTAATCTTTCAATTTGAATCCATAAAATATCCTTGTCGCATATGCTCTTGAAAGTAGATTCATAGAACAATATTTTAGAGGCACAAAAGAGAAAAATTCACCATATATCACTTTATATCTCTTTAATACACTAAAATTCTTGCAAAGATTCGGTACTGTTGCAGACCACTATAGGAACATTCTCCCACTAGAAGAGCCCAATCACATCTCCATTTCTGTGTTGAAATTCAATGTATTATCTATGTAGAGTGCTGGGAGGCTTTATGAAGGAATTAAGTATGGATGTTTACGATTTTGCCGTAGCTTTTAATTATATTATAAAAATAAATAAATATTCCATTATTGTTCACAAGGTCATTATGAGAGCATGGCCAAGAGTAACCACGGCTAATGAGGATAGATAGCGGGCACTAAGAGGGTCTCCTTTAGAGATTCTAAGATTAGATTCCGATTCCGATTCCGAATCCCCTACAGCCGTAGGCTGCCACCTTGACCGCTCGGCCAACCGTCCTAAATGAAGCATTATTACAAAACATCTCATAAAGTCGTAATATTCATAAATTACTAACAATATTGTCGTAGACAGGTGTTCATGACAATATTGATAAAGATTTTTGCCTTTGTCCTATATCCATTTTTTACCTAAAAAAATTATTTATTGACCTATATTATAAAATTTGGTAATACATATACTGATCACTAATTTCAGTAAATCATAAGGAACAATATTATTGTTAAAGTAACTTGTTCACTGTTAAATAGCACGGGTTCTCTTTCACCGGATGCCTCACCTAACATATGGTTCCATCACATTACATGTCCACTATTTTAGCTAGTGGATTAAAGTGTTCAGGTCGCACTCCTCGGTATTGGAATTGCACTTTCAGGACAAAGGAATTCAATTTTTGGGGGTACCTCTAATAAACTCGTTTTGTAACGCGTTGTATTGCTAAATTTGGAATTGCTAGAACGTATTGGAAACTATCTTGTAGACTGAATTCAGTATTGCAGTCTGGCTTGTTTTCTTTTTTGTAAATGGATTGGATCTGAACTTCTTACTACTGATTGGGGATTTCTTCTCTCTAAATCTGTAGGATTAACAGATAGATTGCAACATATAGTATTTCACCTCCTTATTTGATAAGCTCAGTTGGAATGTTGTCTCTTTCAAGATCTTTCTTTGTTTTTAGTTACTTACGCTTTGTTTCACTTCTGCAAGGGTGGGGAGATTGTTTGAGGTTCTGCACTGTAGTAAGAGTTTTCTCTTCATTATTATCTGTGTCTACAGTAACGGAGTTGAGCAGTTCTTTAAAATATTTCCCCCAACTTTCTAGAATTTGATTCTCAGATGTCAATAGATTATGGTTTTTGTCATGGATATAACAGATTATAGGTTTTTGTCATGGATTTAACAGATATGGATATAACAGAATATGGTTTTTGTCATGGATATAACAGATTATAGGTTGGAAACCATTTCTCCATTGGTTTAAGTTCTTAAAAACTTACTTGATGTTCTTACTCTGATTATCTTCTGTATCAACTATTTTTGTTCCTGATAATTTTCCTTTTTTTTTTTCAGAATGGCTTTCGTTTCTTTTCTTGTGTTCTTATATGAATTTCTCACATTTTCCATGACTGATACTTCAACAGTTTTTAATATTTTCGATGCTGTTGAACCTTGTATTCCGGATCGTTATGTGATGCTGATGGTTGTGGTTCATTATTTTTATCGCCTGTATCTTCTGAATCTGAATTATAATAATATACATCATCAATATGCACATCCAACTGTTCTTGTTTTTCGTTTGAATCAACTCAACACTCGTATCAGCAAAGTTTCTTTTCTTTTTATGAATCAACTCAACAGTCGTATCAGCAGTTTTTCTTTTCATAATACGTTTTTATAGGAGGTTCAACGTAATTTTGTAGTTAGAATTCTTGAAAGACATTAAAAATGATACGTTGTTAATATCAATAGACGTCCGTAATAAATACTTAAATTGGAAACGTAAAATATTTGCGCTTGAAATGAACATGTAACACCGCGGAAAATTATAGTACAGAAAAGTGTGTATAATTTAATCACGAAGAAATTAAACAGAAACCTTATTAATATTGCATAATTTTTACGAAGGTACATAGGCAGTGTTTCCATTGCAACAACTGTAACCAAATATTCCAAATCGATACAAAGCCAAATATGAAACTCCGTAAATATTTTTAAAATGTAATTCCATCTAAACTCTGCTTTGAACCAAGGCTACTACACAGATAAAAAAGATTATGTTACATGTACCACACCATCACGGTGTTAACTAGAAAGATGATGTGCACTATGTTTGTCATTATTTTTTAGGTCATGTGGTTCTTGGAGAGGCTGGACACAAAAATATTTATATATAATACATATTACATATAAATATGAAAATATATAAAAGAGGTGCATATATAATATATATTATGTATGCATTTCATTTTTGTTTTTCTCAGAGACGAAAGAATCCAATATCTCTTGAACCATCATTTATTTAGTGCCGAAATTTTAAACTATAATAAGTTTTTATAAATTTAGATGTCATATCATATTTTCTTATTACTTTAAACATTATATAAACCGTAAAGAAATATAAACAAAGCGATACTTCATGTGCAAATTACTTTCAAAACTTTTCGATAACAACAACAAACATTCATTTATTTACTATTGGAATTACGTGGGTGAGTCAAAAAGTAAGTTGCACGTGGAAATCACAAGGAGCAAGATCTGGACTGTAGGACGGATGTTTCATACAGTTCATTTGAATTTTTCCAGTAGGACCTTTGTGATTCCTGCTGAATGAGGTGTGGCATTATCATGCAAAAACTTTTTCACCGTACACTTCCCTCAACTGATGTTGAATTTCAGTGGGGTTTTTACCCATAAGAGATAAGTTTCTGTACGAAATTCCAATTTGGACACTACATCGAAATGACGCGATATCTTTCTTGACTGAAAACTGATTAACCTCTGCAACCAAATAGACAAATTTGCTACGCCTTGTAGCCGGAAGGATTATCAATGTTGCTACCAGTTTTCATCTAAATATCGTTTATCGAGAAAAAGTTCTTGCCAATTACAATTCACTTTTTGACTCACCCGCGTATTAATCTGTGAATATGCCTGTACATTTATTATATCAAGAATTAATTCATAAATCGATAAGCTACGCTATTCATTATTTGTCATAATTATTAAAAATTCAACAATTCGAATCAATTTTTATAATCTGTAATTTATGAACATCTGACACAGAAATATGACGCCAGCAAAAGTACAATATTTGGCCGTGCCTCCAATATAGAAGTGTATCCAAACTTTTTTTTATATAAAAAGTAATATAAAAGATTAAGACTTCATTTGATAATTAATAAAAATATCTAATTTTAAATTACAAAAAAATCTATTAAAAAACATTAGCGAAAAATTAAAATTTATAAATAAAATTTGATAACAGATAGCGCTAGATGTAGATTAATAAATTACCAGTGCAAGGCACAGCAAGGCGTTGCCCTTTTTAGTCTTACTGTCTATATAAAATATTTTATTGTTTTCCAATTAATGCTAAACCAAAAATAATTTTTATAATTTAGTGTTCCATACTGTATATAATAAGTAAATAATTAAAAATATAAACTAAAATGTAAAGAAACTCTTTCTGTTCAATAAATGTACTGAAAAGAAAAAAAAAATTCAGATTTTACAGTGTTCTTGGTATTATGTGACCAAAAATTAAAAAAGTGGGCGCTCATTAGAAGCCCATAAAAAGTGACAGAAAGTATAACTAATTTAATAATATTTCCAAACATGAGCATCTCACGCTTTTATTTTTGGTCATATAATACAGTACCAAGATTGTGTGAAAGCTGAATTCTTTTTCGCTTTTAGTGCATTTATCTGAATAAAAAGTTTCTTTAAAATTTTTTTCTTTTATTTTTTGTATTTGATTAAAGTGATAAATATTAATTTTATACTTCACAGATATTTAATTAAATTCAAACATATTATTAAATATAAAATATTTTCTATTTTATTGAAATTTCTCTCTCCAAAAAAGAAATTACCACCTGGAATATTACTTAGGCTACATTAAAATATACTACGTTTTATTTTCTTGAAAATTAAAATCCATAGTTTTAAAAAATTTTGCAACGTTTACCTTTATTATTAGTATTATTATACCTAATAAACACTTTATTTAGGTCAAGTTTCTAATTAAATGAAAGATATGGAAAAACGAATAATTAAAAAACAAGATGATTAAAAAGTTACCGTTCAACCTATTATACTTTTGTACAGGATGATTTTTTGATTACCCTACATAAACTCACCTGTAACGAATACAGCTTTGTTCTTGGAAGATAAAGGTGGCTGGTATGATTTGTATATTAGATATCCAAAATATAACAGCACCGACAGAACAAATAGATAGAAGTATTCTGGTATCGAAAACATCCTTTAATCTAGAATAGAAAGCAAAATTACAACTAATGTTAATTTCAATGATGCTTTAAGTATTCTCATTAAATATTTATTCAAAATATACTCTTGTAAACAAATTTATTTTAAATTTAGCCGATTATTTGTCTAAGTTAAATAAGTTTTATAAGTTTATATAGGCATATCAATTTTTATCGCATGGCGATAAATAGAACCTTTAACCTTTTGAACCGTGACGTGGTAATAGATATGAGTGTTATTCTTGCTGTTACGATTGAAAAATCAGAGCTTATAATTTGAGAAATTCTTAAAAAGAAAATGAACTAAAATGAATAAGCAGATTTCTTAAAATTTCTTAAAATAAATAGGCAGAAATGTGAAAAACTTGCTAAAAGAATTTAGTAAATTTTTCACATTTCTATGTGAAAAACGTATTTCCGGCACCAGACCGATGATGCCTATGTCAGGACTGAGACCACTGTATCCTATAAGGCAGATACAGAAACCTTGTTGGCTGCTGTTCCGATTTTTGTGCGACTAGATATGTAGCCACTAGGGAGACGGCCTGAGAGACAATGCTGCCTAAAGGAGTGCACATTACAACTTAATTATAAAGGAAAAAAATACCCTTATTTTTTGTAAATTATTTTCACGTATACATAGCATAACAGAGTTCCGTTATAGCTTTCAAATACAGGCTTAAATTGAATAAAGCTATATAGCGTAACATAATTGAGTATTGAAGTTAACGGGTTCCTAGCCGAGAGAGGAAGCTTACATTATTACGCGCGATGCGAAATACCTCGATTGGTGGATTGATTGATGCCAAATCGTCTTGACGAAGGGGTGAAGAGGTTTCCGCTGGATTGGGTAATACTCCTGGATGGGGCAGTTTTTGGTCGAATGTCCGGTAGGTAAACACAGCTATGGTCCGGTCACGGCGGTAGTTGACGGGATCGGTGCTGGAGCTCGGCTGGAATACACTTGCACAAGGATATGGATAGACGAACGCTCTGTCAGTTTTTGATGTTGGTCTTTTATTTTCGGGCTCCTCATCCTTGCTTTCGATGTCTTTTTTAAGGCAATTTTAAGTTTTTGGACTAATGGATGAATTTCGGATGAAAGTTCCTGGTGACACATACATTCNGTGAAAAACGTATTTCCGGCACCAGACCGATGATGCCTATGTCAGGACTGAGACCACTGTATCCTATAAGGCAGATACAGAAACCTTGTTGGCTGCTGTTCCGATTTTTGTGCGACTAGATATGTAGCCACTAGGGAGAGGGCCTGAGAGACAATGCTGCCTAAAGGAGTGCACATTACAACTTAATTATAAAGGAAAAAAATACCCTTATTTTTTGTAAATTATTTTCACGTATACATAGCATAACAGAGTTCCGTTATAGCTTTCAAATACAGGCTTAAATTGAATAAAGCTATATAGCGTAACATAATTGAGTATTGAAGTTAACGGGTTCCTAGCCGAGAGAGGAAGCTTACATTATTACGCGCGATGCGAAATACCTCGATTGGTGGATTGATTGATGCCAAATCGTCTTGACGAAGGGGTGAAGAGGTTTCCGCTGGATTGGGTAATACTCCTGGATGGGGCAGTTTTTGGTCGAATGTCCGGTAGGTAAACACAGCTATGGTCCGGTCACGGCGGTAGTTGACGGGATCGGTGCTGGAGCTCGGCTGGAATACACTTGCACAAGGATATGGATAGACGAACGCTCTGTCAGTTTTTGATGTTGGTCTTTTATTTTCGGGCTCCTCATCCTTGCTTTCGATGTCTTTTTTAAGGCAATTTTAAGTTTTTGGACTAATGGATGAATTTCGGATGAAAGTTCCTGGTGACACATACATTCCGAAAATGTGTCACCTTTGGAAAGGAAGTAAATCTGGGGAAAGATGCGATCACATCCTTCCATTTTTTTTTTACTATGTTGGAAAATTTTTTTTTTATAGAATATGTAAAATTTAAGCGTTATTCTAAACAAATTTGATATATTTTGTTGTGGTTAATTAAAATTTCCATCTCCTCCAGTTTCTCACAACATTATTTATTGATTTTATTGATATTTTATGGTTTGGCATTATATCGTACAACATGTATTAATTATATATGATTTTAAAATTTTAAAAATTTATAAATTTTAGGGATTACGTTAAATTAAATTTACAACATAATCATACACAATATATAATAAAAACGTTATATTACTAATATTGAATTAATATTAAATTTTAAAATAAGAAAAAGCCAGTTCCAATTTTTAAGTTTGTAGTTTTAATTGAATATTTTTCTGTTTTTATAAGTTTTAATTTTGACTGCAACATAACGTACAAAGAAAGGTAGGTTGTCAAAAGTTTGTATTCTGAAACGTTAAAAGTGAATAAATGGTGATTTAAAAAAAAGACTATATCTTCAATATTATTTTTAAACATAATTGTCATCCGACGAAATTCTACAATAATTATAGGTTTGCTATATTCTTACGCGTTTTAACTAAACAATTCTATATTTAAAAGTATAGTATTTCGTACAGCAAGTACAATATTCATGGTTAAAAGGTACAATTTATTCAATTCTTCTACGTATGCATTTCTGGTTGACATAAAATATTTTCTATTTTATTGAAATTTCTCTCTCCAAAAAAGAAATTACCACCTGGAATATTACTTATACATCATCAATATGCACATCCAACTGTTCTTGTTTTTCGTTTGAATCAACTCAACACTCGTATCAGCAAAGTTTCTTTTCTTTTTATGAATCNCCGACGAAATTCTACAATAATTATAGGTTTGCTATATTCTTACGCGTTTTAACTAAACAATTCTATATTTAAAAGTATAGTATTTCGTACAGCAAGTACAATATTCATGGTTAAAAGGTACAATTTATTCAATTCTTCTACGTATGCATTTCTGGTTGACTTGAACTCTCAACCCTCTTCAGTAATCACATCAATCAGTATATTATGTAAACAAACCAGATTATAAAGGAAAAAAATATTAATTTTATAAAATGTTATGTCTAACAATCCTCTTGGGATTAAGAAATGAATAAACTCATAAATATTGGATATGCACTTGTACTTGAAATTGAATCTCCATCTATAGTTGTTTCTTTAAGAATACGTACAAATTATTTAGTCCTGAAGAGGGGTTGAAAGTTCAAGTCAACAAGAAATAAATATTTAGAAGAATTGAATAAATTGTACGTTTTAACCTTTGAATATTGTACTTACTGAACGAAATACTAATCTATACCTTAAAATATAGGTTTGCTCAATTAAAACGCGCTAGAATAATTAGCTTGAACCCTCATACAGTTTATGTACCTTGCTTATCACATTCTTTTAATTTGATCATTTGTGATGCTGCTTCCAGTAGTATATATTGTAAAATTTTTTCGGAATATTGTGACGTTTATACTGCATATTTCTGCGAGTAAAAAAAGATGGAAAATTATACAAAAGCATTTAAATATTACGCTAAAACCATTATGTAATACTCGATGAGAAGCAAATAGATGCATCCAAAGCACACATTTGAACAAACTTACAATACATAGTTTGAACAAACTTATAATGCCTTAGAAGAATTTATTGATGCAAGTAACGATAACACAACAGTATCCGAAGTCTACTAGATTCATTAGAAAAAATGTTATTTATTTTAAGCTTATCTATGATTTACAATTCAGGATCTACTCGGTGATGGAATATTTTAACGCACTCTGAACAAAATAATGGCAAAAAGTAGAAAAAGCGAATTGTTTCCACATTAAGATTAATTATGGTAATAGTAAAAATGTGCTTATGGAAATTAGTTTAAATCATAACGAAAAAAAAAAACATTAAATAATCTGGAAGCTAGAAAATTGGCAATTTAATGAATATGAAATTGCTTTGTTAACAGTTTTGTGGGATAGATTGCTAAATTATGAAGAATATACACCAGCAAGTCATTACAAGATATCCAATCTAATGTAATTTAAACCACTAACTCAATATATAATAGAAATAAGAGGTAGATTTGAAAATATCGAAAAAGAGGCAAACTTACTTACAGAAAACCGCGATTTTAAAGAAACACCGCAAGAAGGAAAGCAAACCTTATCCGACGAAAATATAAATAATGAAACTCCTTTCACTTTAAGATAATTTTTTTATTATTAGTGTACTGTAATATGTGACGTAGGGGAGACCGGGGTAACTTCGGCATGCGGGGCAAGTTTGTCAAGCGCTTTTTTTTAAAAACAAATTAAAAGGAGACTTTGGTTATAGGTTAGGCAGTTGAGTTTTATTGGTGGCTTGTTGAGTGTAGTGTTTTTATTGTTCTCCAACAAGCGTAGTTGAATTATCAAGCAAATTTTCATTTTCGTTCAATTCCATATAATATTTTTTTTCCATTTATATTGAATTGGCAGGTTTTGTTATAATTCCATGATAACGAAAGTTACTTTTCCTGTTAGAAGGATGTAACTTCAACTTATTCACGTGGCCAGATCGTGGCTTGGCATTCTGTTCTCAGGGTTGTACTTAATGTTTCGAAATCATGACTAGCGGGGTAAGATCGGCAACATAAAGCCACATTAGAAGCAAAGGATAAAAATCAAACAGATGATAAATGAAAACATGTTTGCATTTGTTATTCATGTATATATGTCTTTGAACTTGCATTTCGTTGTAATAATATTAAATGGGTGTTGGATTTGTATTTCTTTGTTTTAATAGTGAATTCCAACTTATACATTGTTAATAACATAATTTTATATACGTGCCTATCTTGCCCCATTACTGTTGCCCCTATACCAGGGGCAACTTTAATAAAAATAATTAAAATAATTACAACTTTACAAAAAGAGAGAAGTTGCCGATCTTGCCCCTATACCCGGGGCAACTTCGTCAATTTCTCTCTTCTTGTAAAGTTGTAATTATTTTAATTATTTTTATTTCCAAACTGATTTTAACCAGTTCTATAGTAAGGTAACATTCCAATAGACAATATGCAAAGCTTTTTTTTTCAGTTTACAGCAGTATTTATTACACAAAATTTAAGTAAAGCTTAACATGCCGATCTTGCCCCGGTCTCCCCTAATTATTGCTGATATTGCAAATAGAAATAATATTTACAACAAAGTCTTGAAGAATTACGAAATACTCGTATTTTGTGATAACGACATTGAACAAGAAGATATAAAAACTTGCGCTAAGACATTATCAAATAGTTACAAAGATTATATTAACACTGTGAATATTATGAAAATGAAATTTTTCATTTTACAAAATTTATCAAAAAGAAGAGATAACAGGTCCTCTTCAATTGTAAAAAACGATAAATGGTTTGCACAGTATATTTCCTATATAGAGACAATCTTAAAAGGCTTTTATTTTACCAATAAGCAATAACTATTAATTTTATAAAATGTTATGTCTAACAATCCNATTAAGAAATGAAAAAGAGATAGTTAAAGATGCACTTTTATATTGTACTTTCCAATAAATCTTTTACCGAAGCGGGAAGTATATTCGGGAACTCTATAAAGATCTTACTAATAAGATTACCCGGTCGATAGTATAATTTTGGAGCTGGTGAAGTGACTGCGTCTTCTAAACACCAAATCACATCTTCGAGTCGATTACATCTGAATAAATCAGCTACATCATTACATTTTTTTAAATATTTTTGAAAATATTCTTCTCCGAGAGCTGAAGTATTTTTCGGGTTGGCATTCTTCCGTTATTATTTAAATGAAAACAATCCACTACTGATTTCTACTGTACACTTTTGCAGGACTCACCAAATGCGGTAGTTGTAATACCGCCATTTGCTGGTATACAGCTACCGCCTATTGTTATTTATTATTGGTGTCATTACTTCACCCGTATCAAGATATTTCGTAAGTATATTTTTTCTTTCTGTGTAAAATTTTGGCACTAACTCATGGTGAAATTAAAGTTAATTATAAAAATATTACCTCATAAAACTTTCACCGACTTTAAGCTCACAAGGAGAGAACACCTCTGGCTAATCACCGATTTTCATCAGCCGTGAAACTACATTGAAAATGAATGGATACGAGCTTTTCATCCAATGTTCTTTGCAAATATTAGTTTTTGATGTTTGAAAAGTCAAAGATTTATAGCGTATAGTTAAAGGCCATGATGGAAGACATATTCTAGATGTTAGTTGTTTGTGTGTGGGAGCAAGATTTTGTTCACTCACTTTGAAGATTAATAACTCTTGTTGCTTTTTGTCGAAAATTTCTGAAATTTTGCAGGGAAGTTTTGTATTATGGAGATTGATGCTATAAAATTTTGATGGTTAAAGGTGGAGGGAGCGTGGAGATAGAAGGGGGATCGTTTGTCATATCTCCAGTGTCATATCCAGTCGGACTTGTAAATGAACTGAAGTACATGTAGAAGAAACGAAACTGTAATTAAAAAATCAAACGATTTTATTAAAAATACAAATTCAATAATTACATAATTCCAAGTTATATGAAAACGGGTGAAAATTATGTTTACAAGTAACATTAATAAGTACAAACTTTTATATCCTCACAACAGTAATACAGAAAATCCTCGTTAATCCGATCTGAAATAGTTAAATCTCGTTAATTCGTAAGTGTACTTTTGTCCCAGCCTGGAATATAGAGATTTACACGTTAAGGGATTCGGTTAGTTCGAAATACGGCTACCTCGAAATTCGAAGTGAAAATTCTGTCCGAACTGTCATATGCCTATGTTAACTCGTTCGTTTAGATCATGGGTCACCAAACTTTTTCACACGGACCAAATAACTGACAGAATGATTAGCGCGGGCCGTATAACCATTTTGTTTAATACAGCACACTGAATACACAAAAAGTGAAGATGACCAACATTATTTATTTACCAATACACAAACACGATTGCTGCAGCAAGCTCGTAATCACCTTAGAAATTTTGTTGCAGGCACTCTTACACAAAAAACTCTGTAATATCCAAAGTCGCAAAAAGTCGCCGAATTTTTTATTTCACTGATTTTACTAAAAATTACTGTCAAAGACAAAAATTAGATTGAACTAATTTTTGCTTTTTACTTACATTTATTTTAATTTTTTCCACATAGTAAGTTTATCTACAATCTATGAAATTTACATATAAATAACTATATTTTAGTTCATTTGTGGCACAGTGTGACAACGGACCGGATGAGCTAACCTCACCGGCCGGATTTGGCCAGCGGACCGTAGTTTGGTGACCCCTGATTTAGATCGAAGTGCCTCGGTACTATAATAGAACATACACCAAGAACAACTCTAATCTGGTCAATATGGATTTACTTTTACAGTAACACATTTTCGGGTGTCACCTTACACATAGACGATCCCATTTTTTCTCTAATCTCACAAAATACAAGCCGGTTTTTGGGATTACAAGATTGGGCTACAAGTAGCAGATTGAGATATTTGTAGGGCTCTACGCTACTATATTTGAGCGACTTGCTGCTTTTTTGGCCACTTTAAAATAATTTGGACTACATTTCGAAGAATCTGCTTTACTTTTTTATAAAACCTATCCGGCAACCTGTGCGGTTCTTATCGGACGTGCTATTTACATTCAAACTTATATTATTATTATTAATTATTAATGAACGAAAATATCGTTCTTTTTACTTATCCGTAATCCGTTTGATTAATAAATCATCAGGCATAGTCTACAAGGTATATATGTAAATATCGGATAATTCGAAGTCGCGATTATTTCGTCCGTTGAATTTCGAACTAACGAGGATTTTCTATACTTTTAATTTTTAATTTTATGGTTTTAAAATATTTTGTCTGTCATTTTAAACATTAATTTTCAAAGGCAAAACACACAGATTTTGTGGTTTAATTAAGAAATGAAAAAGAGATAGTTAAAGATGGACTTTTATATTGTACTTTCCAATAAATCTTTTACCGAAGCGGGAAGTATATTCGGGAACTCTATAAAGATCTTACTAATAAGATTACCCGGTCGATAGTATAATTTTGGAGCTGGTGAAGTGACTGCATCTTCTAAACACCAAATCACATCTTCGACTCGATCACAATTTAAAAAATTAACCATAGTATTACTTTTTACGACAAACTTTTGAAAGTATTCTTCTCCGAGAGCTGAAGTATTTTTCGGGTTGGCATTCTTCCATGATTGATCAAAATAGGATATAATTTTGTCCTTAGAAGTTATTTGAGTGCTGTAAATATTACAAAAAGAAAGATACTTTAAGATTATTTTATTTTTAAAAGATATTTAGCTATTTATTCACACTAAAATATATGTTTAACTTAATATAAATTAGGAATTTAATGATTATTCCGACTAATTTTAAATTAGAATTAGATGTTTTTATCATCTCTTTATTAATTAGATTGTCGGCTTAAATTTGTTGTATCAAAAGATACCCGATTAACAACGAATAAGGCAAAGCGGATGAAAACTAAGATTTGAATCCCCTTTCTAGTTATCCATAAGAAATAAAAAGTTTGGGTTAGTTTGATCCCGAATTCCTAAAAGAAGTAAACATACTTATTGCGAAATCATTAAAATGTGAACTTTTAACATTATAAATGGTTTTCCAGTAAACGAATAACGGCTTTATTTAATCTTTGGAAGCAATATAATAATTATTTACACTAAAATCATGAATCTATTTATGCATATCTGATAAATAGTGTTGAAGACAATTGTTATGAAATGAGTAAATGGACAGGATGAACCGTTAAACAATGTGGATCGTCGATTAAAACATTCTTGTCAGCACTACATGACTGTTGTTTTAAATTGTTTTTAATAAATATTTTTATAAACGTTTTATAAAAATATGTAACATATATAATGTAGCAGTATTGTTTACAGTATTTTTACAGTCATATTAAATAATGCGCCTGGTTTATCTTTTCATGGGTAAAAGTATAGTGAAGTCAGAATAAGTAATAATGACTAAAATATTGATAAATAGAAAGAGAACGAAAATTAATTTAGTGTTTGTTTTAGTTTTACTTAACGAAAATTTAAATAAAGCTGAAACTATTATTACTAAGTAGTAACCGAAATGTCGATAAAACTAATAATAATTAAAACTAATAATAATAATAATAATAAATAAAACACCCGTGTAATAAATCACACAAATGTAGTATGGTATTACTTTAGTGGGCAAATTAGTCATTTAAACATTGCTAGGCTATATACCTTAGATATACGAACGAAATACGAATAATATATCTAAAAACGGTAGTCTTTGATTTTTGCCAGTTCTAATTCAAATTGCATCTGCTTATCTATTTTATTTATTAACTGTATCTTATTATCAATATATATTATACTCGGCCAATGTTGAGTCAATACAGCCTCCAATTGGAATTTCCTCTATCTGTTTATAAAATTCTTCTTTAATTTTAAAATATACCCCTTTCAATGTTAAANGAATTATTAAAGTTTACATTGGTGATCAGGGTCAGCGCGTGAGGTGAGGCAGTAAGGGGGCACTTTCAAAAGGGTGGTATTTTCGAATTACAGATTGAAATTTATATTCATTACAATGTGTTAAAACTAAGTAAATTATTTACTTAGTTGGCTCGTTTGATAATTTTTCAATGTAAATATATCAATCGGCGTATATTGTTTTTACGTTGAGCAGCTCTGGCGTGCACAGGCACATAATTTTCAGGAAATCCGAGAAATAAATGTGAATAACGGATATAAAAATGTAATTTTTAATGTCGTTTATCGAGGCTGGATGGCCGAGCAGTCAAGGTGGTAGCCTACTGCTCTTGGTGACCTGGGATCAAATCCTGAAGAAATCCCCAGGTTTTTTCGGGAAATGGTCTGTTCCTCACCACCCAGCTGTCCCATTATGGGCTTGCTATAACAGGCCCACTTAGTACCCACAGGTTGGAAAGAGCAAAAAAACTTTAGTATTACTTATTATATCAGCTTTAATTAATTTTAAGTTGTTATCATTCAAAAACTTATTTGCTCGTTCTATACAATTTTTATATTTATATACGTAAATTTCATTTCGTTTATTTAATTTGTTTCTTATTTCTATTTTTTTAAGGTTTTATTCTATTGATAATATCTTTAACAATTTAAAAGCATTATTATTGTGTATGACAAGTCCTGAATAGTTAAGCAGGAAGGTGAGCTTAAAAAACAAAGTTTTCCCATTGACTTAACTTGGAGAAAACATAACTGTAGTATAATTCACAGCACTGTGGCATCCTTATATAATTTCTGGGGAAACTTTGTTGTGTTAAACTCATTAATAAATAAAGTTCTCATAGAAAGTGTATCGGGATAGCTTAGTGTTGAAAACTGCTTCTTATAATTATTTTAATAAGTGCATTCCCTTTAAGACTGACTATAACTTCTTTGGTTTATGCACACGATCTCCAGCAGATTGCGATAAAAATTTAATATTTTATTCCTTTTCTAAAACAGTTTCTTTACAGAACCGAACAGTTTCTTTTTACGTTATAATCCTTTTAAATTCTTCTCTTTACATTTTTAGTTTCTTCTCTTAACAAATTCGATTTTCTACAAAGTTTCCTATGAGATTAACGTTCGTAGAAAATTAACGAATTCGTACAATTCATAAGATCGTCGTAACTGTGATTATCGGAAGTGAGGTCTCTTTCGAGTTTGGTCAAAAGTAGCATATAGAATATTTGAACAATCAATTCCTCTCTGGTGTCAACCGAGGTAGTGTACAGTACGTGACACTTCACATGTCCCCAAAGAAAGAAACCTAAAGATGTTATATCGGACTATCGTCACATTCACTGTGCATGATGGCTTCCGACAGGGGTTCCGTAACTCCTAAACGACGTGTCAGGAAAAATGGGTTGCTACATATGAAACATTTTTCTCTACTAAATCTAAAATGCCGCAGAGGTCCTGAATCACCCCGTAATTCACCCCGTCGCAAAAAATTATCGTTTTTATCGTTTGAGCAGTTTTTACAATTAACAATCCGTATCTTTTACTTTTTATAAGAGAATATATGCAAGACTTTTACTTTTTCAGCAGTTTTATATAGTAGAAGGAAAGTATGGCAATAGATGAAAAAATACCCCCAAGATTTAAAAATTTTTGAACTCAGCGGACATTGAAACGTCAAAAAATGAAAAAGTTTGGGATTTTTTCTGTATATATGTGTGTGTGTGTGTGGGTGTGGGTTTGCATATATACAGTACAGGCATACCTCGACTTACGTCGTTTCGAGTTACGTCGTTCCCGATTATACGTCGCTTGTTAAAAAAGTATATGGAAAAATAAAAATCAAGTTTAAGTCATTTTATTCGACTTTACGTCTGTCCGCCACAAATATTGAAGTCGTAATATCACTAGATAAACGTTTAAAGCACATAAAATCATATTAAAATATATACAAGTATGTACTGTATTTACAGTACACGCATTCGTAAATTTAAATTATTTTTTTTGTACTATATTAAAAACTAAAATTTATTTGTTTGTAAGCTTAAAATAGATTTTTATTAACCATATATTATTTAAAATGCTTTCCTAGTGATAAGTAGATTCGGAGACAGGTAAATTCGACTTACGTCGTTTTCCTGGAACCAATTACCGACGTAAGGCGAGGTATACCTGTATTTGTGTGTGGGGGGAGAGCGCGATTTTGTTCACCGAATTAAAAGTTTAATAACTCCCGTGTCTTTTGTCGAAAATGTTTGAAATTTTGCAGGACGATTTGTGTACAGTATTAGGAAATTAATACTATTAAATCCTGGTGGTTAAAGACCAAGGGGATGGAAAGATAGATAACAAAAATTTTACTCGTTTTTATAAAACTCATCTCTACCCTGAAAATTAAGCTTTGTGCCATTATGTAATTATTAATAATATAAAAATTTTTAAAATAAAATCTCATAACAGATGGCGCTACACACAATTTTAAAGTTTGGCCAGGAAAGTTACTCAATTCGTTGCTGAACTTCTTAATTGCGATTTATAAACATTTCCCTTATTTTTTTTAGACTATTACTTATTATTATCTTTTCCATTAGTCACAGCGAATCACGATAAAATTTCAAAACATCGCTTTGCGTAAGGTTAATGCAATATAGGCTGACACATTAGTGCAATTCCTTCAAAATACGTAAATATAAAAATAGAAACAATTTGTATAAGAAAATATATTTTAGGAACATTAACGATTAGATAATGTTAAAGTTCGATAATTATTTTGAGGAATTTTGTAATTCCTCATGATTCCAAAAACATTTCAATTAATTTTTGCATTAATTGAAATATTTAAAAAAATAGTTTTTTATTTGCTAAAGCTGGTCAACAAATGAAAAACTTTTTTATACTTATATTAATACTATATTAAAATTATAACTTTAATAAAATAACATTTTTGACGTTTTAATAAAAAAAATAAAAAAATATCTATTAATATAGAAAGTACATATTAAAATGATTTTCAATTTACCTGTAGAAGTAAGGCTGAACATTTATAACTTTAATATTCCATTTTCTCATTTCCAAACGAATTCCATCAGAGAAAGTCGACGCTGCCGATTTACTCATACAATATGATACCATTGCGGGTAATATCCTAACTCCTATATAAATTTTGATTTATTATAAAATTTGAAACATACGTAAATGTTAACTATTCATATTTTTTAATTATTTATGTATTAAGATACTAAATACATACATTGTACAAAATTTAGTTCTGAACTTTATCACTGAAGTGGAATTAATGAAATACTATTTTTAGCAAATGATGAAATGCAAATTTATTATGATCCAAATTGAAATAACTTTAATCAACTTCAATAATTAATTATTCAAGTTAAAATTAAATAACTAGTTATTCAAATTTATGCCATATGTTATGAAAATTCGAAAATCATTTATATTTTTAAAAATCCACAGAAAATTAACTCTAATTTCTCATGTAATTAAAGAATTTGCAATAAAGTATTTCGAATGAAGAGAATAAATTTAAGTGATCTAAAGTCGCATGATTTAAATTCAAAACGTTTCCCCAGAATGGAGTTATATAGATGACTGGCATGACTCTGTTGTTATCAGGAAAAGTATGATGTACAGGGGCAAGACAGTACTAATTTGAGGTGGAGAGCATATATTTTA